AAAATTTGATAATTCTTTTTGTTTTCCTTATACTTTATATTTTATTAAAAAAACTTTTTACACTTATTTATCATCCATCCTTATTAAGGTAACAAAAGGCGTTATACATACACGCTCATCTTTTATTACTTTGCATGTCTATACATATACTTCTAACCCTAAGAAATTGCTCTAGTTCTCAGCTCTTTAAATGTTTGTACGTATATAATATATAATTTGGAGTAATAAATATAATAAAATATTTCTCAAAATCATTATAAATATCTTAAATTTGCCGCGTAATCGCTTTATTTACTCAACACTTCGCATGTACATAGATAAAACACGCAACAACGACGCTAGCGCCGCTGCTGCTTAAACAATCTGTGTTGTTCGCAATTCTAAAACGTTTCTTGATTCTACCGTTTAAAAATTGCCCTTCACCACATAAATTATTTACATTTAAAAGTGATTTTTTTCAACGTGTTGAAGTGATTTAAAGATTGTTAATTTTGTTTTTAGCTGTAATTGTTATATTGGAGTAGGTAGAAGCGATACTGGTTCCTGGATAACCACAAGGTATTGTGCCGTTCCTTTCGCGATAACGTCACTTCTTTTCGAATAGTAAAGAAGTAAACATAGATCTTAAGAAAAAAATATAGTTTATATTAGATGCAGAACACTAATATAGTTTATATTAGATTCAGAACACCAAATTATTAAGTTTTTAGAGACTTTGAAATGAAGGCATGATTACAAATTAGAACAATTTTGTGGCGATGTGACAAAATAAATCCAAGTACTCTAAAAATTGATAAAGACACGTATCACATCGTACCTATCTTTTGAGTTTATCGGGCCGAATTATTTGTCACATATCCACGCAAATGTCATGATTTTTCCCTATTAGCCGAGTCGATGGATAGGTCTTTACTTACAAAAGGTCCAGAAGAGTTCAAGTTTAATAGACAAGTATGTACGAGTATGTACAGGTTGACGACAACGTTTGTGACTTTGAGCGTTGTCGCTCGATCGGTCTTATGTGGCAAATGGTAGATGTAGATGTGATGTAGGGAAAGGTGCCATGAATGGGACATTTTTAGTGTAAGATTTGCAATAATAAAAATCTTTTGTATATAATGTAACTTTATCTATTCATCTTTCAAAATATAAACCAAAAACCATATCTTTTCGAGACATTGTAGCATTAAAGTCAAATTTAAAAATTCTTAACATATGCCCCATTCATGACGGTGTGGCCTAGAATGGGACATTGATAGTCACGATAGGGACATACTATAAACAAGTTCTTAGAAATTATTATAGAAACTCTTATGTTTTTTAACTTTTATTAATATACTTATACTACAATAAATAATATACCTATAACATACCATACTTAATCATAATCTGGCCGATGCGTTTAAAAGTTGGAAAGTTGGGAAATGCATTTACACATACCACTTGTATACATAGCAACTCGAGAGAAGGCAGTACTAAAACCCAATAGAACCCCCCCGTCTTAATGGGGCATGGTTAGTGTGGTCTGCCGAAGCAGACAACAACAACCATGGGGTTGCTCCACGGTCCACCCTGCTATCAGTCAAGTACTCTGCTGATCAGAGAAGTACCCGGAGCAGCCCCACACCACACAAACACCGCCCACCGAAGTGGGCAACCTGCTAAAACAATTCCCCACCCAAATTGGGCAAAACACAGAAAAGATGCCCGAAAACGAGCCCAACCACAAACGGCTGCAGAAGAAGAGGATGCGACAACGCCGACACTCCCCTTCCCCTGCAGCCCCACCGCGTCCACCATCAACGGTGGTGGCCCCGCTAAGCCGCGGGAGATAGGGACGAGCGGCGCATCGCCATACCGACACTCCTCTTCCCGCGCGGCCCCCCTACCGTCGGCCCACCTCCGGACCAAAATGGCTGCCGACATCCCTCGCCAGACGCAGGACCACCGAACTGGCCCCGCTCCAGCCGCCGCACCGACGGGCTAGCCCCGGCAGTGTGGCCCGCGCAGCGCCTCCTACCGCGAAACGGCCGGAGACACCGCACCTCCAAGAAGGAGACGGCGCCCTCCTAACGCCGCTCCCTCAACCGTCCCTCCTGGCTGTTGGTCCGCGCCGGATTGCTCCGGTACCACAAGCTCCTGTCGGGTCCAAACAGGTGCGAGTGGTGTTCCCCTATCCGCCACCCGGGGACGCGTCCGGTAGCAGTCAGCCTCTGCCCCGGAATGTATCTAATACCTATAAAACTAATAACTTGATGGAATTCAGAATTGAACGGCCGACATCAAAAGTTTGTATTTATTTCTATTGTAGTGTCATACTTTTTGAAAAAAATCTTAAAATTTTTTTTTACATATTTCATCAAGAAAAAGCGATCTATGTTTAAAGAATTAAATTACTTATTCTCTTATAGACAAGTAAATCAAAGCTAGAGTATAATTTACAAAGTTAGCTTTTTTACACAGGGAAAATCTTTTCTCTGACTTACGAAATTATACGAATCGTAGATATAATAGTTATGAGTCATTTTCCTTAGGGCAGTAAAATTGATCGTATTTATCGCAATAGGGACCCCATTGTAATTTTATATTTATATGAATTACTATACTCTAACGTTCAAATGTAAAAATGTTTTATATAAATTATATTGAACCTAATATTTTTTCCAATAAATTATTATCAACGTTAGCCATCGTTTTGTTTATCATGTACTTAAAATACTAAACTAATTATTTATGTATTTATTATGTTATTATTGTTTTATATCTTGATTTAAATATTTTAATTTAAAAATCAAGTAACGTAAGCTGTTACCTTAATTGCTATTTAATTTCAATCGTAAAAACGATACGTAATAATGCATGATGCTTTTGTACTCACATTATTTTAACCGACGAATTTGTCTTCTATAGTACCTAATACCTATACATTTTTGTGTATAATATCCTTATATTTACTATTAAAACGGATCTTGTTTTCTCAAATATTTAAAGTGAATTGTATTTTTTTTTGAGAAGTAAATTATTAAACCGTAAACCGTATGAAGAAATTTTCCAAAAATAGACCCTTGCGGAACTCCCGTACTTAATAAGCGCCAGGAGATCTCTTGTCATTTATGTACATCCACTCCCTGAAGTCTATTTAATTATGAAGTTAGAAAATTGAATCCTTTGCCTCTAATGCTATAGTGATATAGCTTCCATGGAAAGTTAATACTCGTACAACCCATTATTATAATATAATTATTTAAGTAAAATACTTTTGGTTTAAAATGATATAGGCGAAATAGCGAGCAATGTAAATTTGGGAATAAATATCAATACACAATTGAGCTTTACAAATATTCCTCATACATAAATTATTATCTACTAGCGGCTCAGCCTCGCTGCTCCCGGGTTCGCCTCTAGAAAAGCACAAACAAATCTATCCTATGGGAACCGTTCGTTTTTCCGGTATAGTAGTAACCTGTTTTTTGATCGGTAACATAAGGTATCATCATGCCAAATTTTACTAAATTAGGTGCATAAGTTGTTGTGTACTAAGCTGTATAAGGTACTATAGCTTTTTAACTATCCCACGGGAACTCTTTAATTTTCCGGGATAAAAAGTATCTAAGATGTTGCCCGAGGATATAAAGTAACACTATGCAAAATTTCATTTAAATCGATCCAATAGAATCGGAGATTAGCCCGTACAAACAGACAACCAGAGAAACAAAAAAATTGAAAAAAAACTGGATTTGTTCTATTTCTCTTCTTACAGCCCCCCTGACTCGGTTTTTAGCATTTTTTTTTCTATGTACAGACATTCGACCTCTACAGTTTTATTATAGTGTAGATAAATGTACAATGTATTCCTGTATCTAATTCCTGTCAATTGTCATATTATTATTTTTGTGTCAGGTTTAACATTTTGCAAGTATCTTATTACAATAAATAAACGTATTATTTAAATGTTTTATATGGTAAATGTTGATTTATACACCATCCTCTTCACTTAATGTGATTCCAAAAATCATTTGTTTGTTTGTTCATTTGTTTGTTTTGTTTTTTTGCCCACCTTATAACACCACCCACCGAACCAATATGGTGGAATGAGGAATCGTATGCCCATGTAATACATACTACAACTTAACAGTTGTCTGATTTTTGTTAAACATGAGAAAAATTTCCTTTCTACCGATACCAATTAAATCAAATGTCCATACTTGCATAAGAGTACCTACTTATTGATTACGCAAATTAATAAAAACCAAATATAAAAAAATACATTATTGAATATTAAAATTACCTAATTATTATTACAAAATAATCTAAATATGTGATTGTGTTAATTGTGATAACTTATCATGTTTTAAGCCGATAAAAAGTGTGGTACGCTGATGCACCCATGCAGCTCCTCGCCCATGTTTCATACTGATTTTTGATCGTACCTCGTGCCATACATTTTGTTCGCTACCGCCTATGCACCTAATACGTTTGGGTTAGTTCGAGTACAAGCTTTTCACAGCAAAGCGACTCTTCACTATAAATACTGGTAGGTACTTTAACACGTTTTGACGTCCTGACACAATAACAAAATATAATTAAAATCGACATTAAAAACGCAACTCCATATATCGTAGAGATTCCTGAAAGCCGTTATTTATTTATTTATTTATTAGACAAGCCAATGCGACGTATAATGCGACATATAAAATATTGGAAAAATATTACAAAGTCCATCACACTTATAGGCTAGCTCAACATGGTATTAAAAAAGGCATTCTTCTTTATTTATTGCAAAAGCGATGGGATGAAAATATAACATTTTATCTAGCTATGAATAATATTAAAATAATAGTACGTAGATAGATATCACTACAAAAGTAATCGATATTACGAAATTATACAAGCATTTTGATAACACTGATTTATTATTTTATGCCAATATTATCAGTGATTTTAGTATAAAACGATTGCTTAGTAATTAACTGAGTCAAACCCTCGTCACTATCATCACCATGAAGCTGGCAGTGATTGTTTTATCTTTGGCGGCTTACGTCACAGCCAGCAACATACCAAACTATCTCCTAGAACACAATACCGCCTATGGATATCTAACTAGATTTGGAATCCCAGAAGCTGAGAGGATCCAGAAAGCTGAAGAAGAATATCTAAAGAACCCATCCTCCAGAATATTTAATGGTTCTCCTGCTGCTCTTGGACAATTTAAATATCAAGTAAATCAATTAATTATAGATTTAAATATATTTTAAGAAATGCTAGTTCATTTTGTTTGTTCTTAGTTAAAGGAATATACATACCTATGTTTGTTTACATATATTAATTTAATTTGAATTATCATCATATTTTAATTTGAAGATTGAATTATTTTTATTAAAATGACATCATTATCGTTACGATAAAAATGTACAAATACTTTGTTAACAAAGACAAACTTGACATAATTTAATATTTATTATATAAACTCATAATTATTATAATTTGAATGAAGGCTGGCTTGATTGGAGAAATCCTTGGCGAAACAGGCAGAAGTATATGCGGGGGTGTCCTGGTCAGCAACAACCGTGTTCTTACTGCGGCCCATTGCTGGAACGATGGTAGGAATCAAGTCTGGAGATTAACAGTCGTGCTAGGATCGGTTTTGCTGTTCAGTGGTGGAACCAGAGTCGAAAGCAGCGACGTCGTTGTGCACCCCAGATGGTTCCCATTGCTAATTCGAAACGACATTGCTGTGATACGTCTTACTTCACCTGTATCAATTTCTGGTACGTTATCTTAGTTATTTTACTTTTGATAACAGATTTGAATAAAATTAAAAATATAATATATATTTATTTTACTTTACATTATGTGATATAGATAATTTTTCATTCACATATGTATATTTCTACTATTTTCAGCCATCATTGAACCTATTGCTTTACCCACTGGATCTCTCATCAATGAGAACTTTAGCGGTGAACAAGCTATTGCGTCTGGATTTGGATTACTTGGTGATAGTAAGTTGATTTTATTAATGTAGGTAATAAAATTATGTTAAATACTAATTTCTTATATGACGTATCTATATTTATTAATATTATAAATAGACAGTTTGTTTGTACCTGTGTATATATATAATATTATATTATAGTCTATCTATTCCATACTAACCGTTATAACGTACCTAGGGATGAATCCGAGCGAAGCGAGTCAGTGAGAAAGTGGAGTCGCTAGTAATTTAATAAAACATTAACACGTATAAAAACAAAATTAAATATAGGAATTTTGAAAAGAATAGTATAGAACGTTAAACACACGCTGCTAAGAAACTAAGAAACGAAAAAATAAGCATAGAAGTTTTGTAATAAAAAATAAAAAAAATAATATTGCTATGGTTTGAAATAATAGTGTCGATGGTGTAATTGATTTTTTTTAATTTCAGACGTTGGCATCACAAACGATCAATTCTTAAGCTATGGCGAAATGACTGTGCTTGAAAACAGCCGGTGCTCATTAGCGTTCCCACGCTTAATTTTTCAAGACTCTAATTTGTGTGTAAGAACCTTTAGAAGCGCTAGTACTTGCCGAGGAGATTCCGGTGGCCCACTCGTTGTGCAAAGGAACGGCGCTCCTATTCTTGTAAGTTCATCTATTTATTTAAAATATAATTACCTATCTTTATTGGAATATTTATTTCTGATTTACGTTTTTAATATTCCTTAAATGAATTTTCAAATTTCATACTGATAATAACATTACTACATGAACGAATTAGAGACTGGACCTGACATAAAATACAAATATATGAAAATTATAAATAAATCGACTGGCCATTGAAACTATTCAGTAGCTATCAAGCATTTGTTAGAAAAGTATGAGCGTGACAAAGCGTCGCTGTACCCAGTAGACGACTTTCCCAGCTATTTTAATTTTACCTATACATAAAAAATAAAATTAACGGAAAGTAATGCAAATCGTTCGTACATTCAATTTGTCCTTTGTACAAAATCGTCAAAATAGACTTTTGCTAGTCCATCTATATTACTCCAAACCAAAATCGGTGAAAATTGACATTGAAAGTGCAAAAATGAACGCGACAGACACAAGTGCACTCTCTATTTCTCTTACTACCAAATTTCGATGGGGCCATAATTTAACACAACGGTTTTACATGCTCTCCGAAGCAGGGTTGAAACACCGCTAACTTCCTAACTCCGGGCTGTTATTGGGACTTCTGTAACCGAATACCCAGATAGACCCAATAACTAAATGTGGCCCGACATGGGATTCGAACCCAGAACCTGCGGATCTGCAGCTGTACATGCTATCCACTATACCACCGAGGCAATTACAAAATAAGTATACATCGTATAAACAAAAATAACTAATCTTTATAAAAATTATTTTTAGGTTGGTCTCACGTCTTTTGGCTTACGCTGGTGTAGACTTGGTTACCCTGCCGCCTTCGTCAGAGTTACATCATTCATGGACTTTATAAATCAAAATCTTTAAGTTTACTTATGTTTTAATAATCTTGTTTCGATATTGATTTAATGCACAATAAATATCTATTTTAACTTTTTTTAAATTTAATCCAAAAAAAAAGTTATAATTAATGAACCCCTACTCGAAAAAAAAGTAAAATAATGAGTTTTAAGTCAAATTTTTATAAATTTATTTATCACTTTTATATGCACTGTGTAGTTTAACTTGTGTGTTTGTTGGCATTACATAATATGACATATTATATAAGGCGCTTTTTGCATTTTACGACTTAAAAAATTAGGAAGAATAGTAGGATAAACTAGCCTGTTCTATGGAACTACAGTCACCGAAATTTGTTTTGTTTTCGTATTTTGCCACATTTTAAAGCACATGTATTTAAAAAAAAAAGAATTTCGAGTTGGTGGTCCTAAGTCAAGAACGTACGTTCAAACTCCACTCTTTACAAGAACGAAGAGTGATGTTACAGATGTTATTTCTCCATAAGCTTTTTAAAAATGAGGTTGATAGTAGTGATAGTATTGAAAATTAATTTTTAACGCACCGTCACTGATACCATGATATCAAAAACATTGTTTAGCACTAAAGCTCACAGAAGCAACTTAGGGCAAGAATTCTACAATAACGATGTTTCAACGTACTTACAACCAACTGACGAATTTAATTTGTATAACACAACAAACACACACACACATATATATATATATATATATATATATATATATATATATATATATACTAGCAGTAACCGCGGCTTCGCCCGCGTCCAAACTTCCGATCGCTAACAAAATTCACAGAATCAGCTGCTGGGCTAATCTGAAGATTACCTGAAAATTTCATCAAAATCGCTCCAGCTGTTTTGGAGTCCATAGGAAACATACATACACACATCGATTTTTATTTTATTTAATCAACAATTTAAATTCATTTATTGCTCGTAAAATGGAGTCTTTTATAAAAATTTAGTGACACACCGACTGCATTACCACCTACCGGATCCATTTGTCAATTCAAACCTTGCAGGGACCCACTCGAACATATACAAAAAATATAAAAATCGTCCCTGCCGTTTAGTCCCTTGGAGCGCTAGGCAGTTAACTTTCCAAATACAATCGGTAAAAATTTCAAAACACTTTGTAGTCTTCATGACGCTCGAAGTTTGGGTATCTCTCACAATATAACCTAGCGGCAGCATTAGCATTACATCTACATTCTCGATAAACGAGATGCATGTTAGCATACTCCTCTGCAGAGTAAGTATTCGGCATAGTGCCCACGGATTTGCACAACAGAAAATCAAAGTCCAAGAGAAAGCCAAGACAGTTTGCAAAATACACCAAATCAATCCAAAACAAGCCGGGTTAATTCAAAAGGAAGTTCAGAATAACAAAATACGAATAGATGCGTAGTATAACATTTTTGTGCCCTCGAAAAAAAGCCACTTACATATATTCATGAATTCAAACCTTGCAGGGACCCACTCGAACATACACAAAAAATATCATTAAAATCGTCCCTGCCGTTTAGGAGATGATCAGTGGCATACCAACTGCAGCGCCACCTACCGGGTCCATTTGTTTTCTAACCTTGCAGGGACCTACTCGAACATACACAAAAAGTATCATTAAAATCGTCCCTGCCGTTTAGGAGATGATCAGTGGCACACCGACTTTAGCGCCACCTACCGGATCCATTTGTGAATTCAAACCTTGCAGGGACCCACTCGAACATACACAAAAAATATCATTAAAATCGTCCCTGCGTTTAGATGTTCAGTTTCACACCGACTGCAGCGCCACCTACTGGGTCCATTTGTGTTTTCAAACCATCCAGGAAAGCATTGAAATATACACAGAGAATTTCATCCAAATCGGTCCAGTCCTTTAGGAGGAGTAGGTTAACAAACACACGTACAGAAGAATTATATATATATTAAAATAAAAAGACACCCAACATACGCTATTACATCTTATGTATATGGACGACATAAAATTTTACGCATCTAGTCATTTTTTTTTTAATCTATTTTTATTTAGGGACTTCTTAGCAACAAAGCTAAATGTCAGTCCCATCGTTCCCTTAAGACATGTATACCACTAATAATACTAGTACCTCTAATTATAACTTATTTTAACTTAAATTGATATACAGTTTTGGCTATCTCTGAGTTAGGTTTAGACAGTGCGCTTTAAAAAACTCCCACATCATCGCAAACGTTAAAACGGCGCATCAACTCCTGTCTCCTATCCGCGTTACGAACACATTCCACTAAGAAATGATGCACGTCTTCCTCTACACCGCATAAATTACAATTTGGAGAATTAGATTTTTTCATTAGAAACATAAATCTGTTAAGTGGAACGTGTCCCGAACGCAGCCTAAGAGCCATAACAATTTGTTGACGCGTTAACCCTGAGTCGCAGAACCACGGGATACGAGGAGGCTCACTTTGTATAGTCTTATACCATATTCCCTTAAGTTTTGATCTTTCGTCAAAGTAGTCTTTAAAGCGGTTTACACATTCTTGTTTATATTTAACTAAAAAATCAGAATAATTTGGTCTTAAATTTATAACTGTCCCTACGAGAGGAGCTTGTTTTGCAAGAATATCAGCCTCCTCGTTTCCCGTTAGTCCAATGTGAGAGGGAATCCATTGCAATTTTAAAGACTTTCCGATAGATTGTATTTTAGTTAATTCATGTAAAATTTTGTAGGCTACAGATACTCCCCTTGTTCCTCTTACGCAACTTATAAGATGCAGTATAGCACTTTCGCTGTCTGTAAAAATCACAATGTCATCTCTATACACATCTCTAGAATAACGTAAAGCCTCCAAAATAGCAACAAGCTCCACAGTCATTATTGATGTATTAGCAGTTATTTTAAACATTTTATTAACATTACAATTTGAATCGTACAAAGAACAGCCAACGTTTGTTTTATCGCATCTAGTCATATAAACTTAAAAATACTTACAGATATTACAGAAATATTTTCCACTGATATTAAAATGAGATTCGGTATAGATAAATTTAGGGTACCATCAGTACGAGGTGGACATTTACGAGTAGAAAACAATAATTATAGACAGGAGTACTTATTGACCCAGTAGATGATGAAAATGGTTATATATATTTAGGATATCAACAGATCCAACAATATTTTTTTTGGTATTTTTAGGTATATTATAAACTAGCATTGCCCGCGGCTTCGCCCGCGTTCAGGTGACCAAAAACTAAATTCTTAGGTTTTACATATTAGTATACTCTTACATTGCAGTTAAAAGTTAAAAAGTATCCAATATGTTGACCCGGATAACCAGGTATCACCATACCAAATTTTATCAAAATCCCTCCAGTAGTTTTTCTGTGATGCGGTAACAGACAGACAGACAAAAATTCTAAAAACTATAGATTCAGCCTCTGTATCGATAATAATGTTTATTTCAATAAGATTTTCCAAAAAATATTTTCAGATTCGGCTTAGTTACAATTTTATTAATTATAAATGTATACATATCCCCTGATACTATAAGAAAAGAAGACGATTGACAATATTCCGGATAATTATAGTTTCACTAGTGAAATGATAATCTAACGGATCATAGAATTTCCCTGCGACACTTACAATTATCCACCAATATTTGGCTAGAAAATTTAAACTTATTAATGGAAGCGTATCATATTATAAATATAAACCACTAACAGTAATAGATACAGCTGACCACAAACTATACTGGGATAGAACAATAATTACAAATAGAACAATTCATCGTAATCACCCGGACATAACACTACTCCATGTGCTATAAATGTCGGCAATGTACTTGGTGACTGTATGAACTGATTTATGTGCTTGTGGATAAGCTAATGAGTGCAAGTTAGGTTTTTGTACCAGTAATAGTGTATATTACCATGTATATGTGTATATTGCCAGGCGCCTTCCAGTTATGAGTATGCTTGATAATTTGAGTGATAATGTCCAAGGGGATATTTTCGAAATCCATTTGAACTATATGTTTGTTTGTTCCCTTTAAAACCACACCGCATCCACATTGTGCTGCGGTGGAGTTTCTCAAATATATGACCAGAACTTTTGCAAATCTTCTTGTGAAGGTGATTCAGCTGATTGTGCTG